AATTTTCCTTTACATAATGACCCATAGCATTGGCTGAGATTCGCCCTTAGTTGGTCGTAAAAGAGCATACAGAGAACCGCCTGTCTCTCTTTTCTCTTCACCTTACTTGGGGGTCGGTCGGGTCACATGATTGCGTGTGAGTCGTTAGCTGGCCAGCCTTCGCATCTAAGTTACTAGTGCGCGTCTATCAAAACCCCCTCTCGTGTGCGTCCGTTCCGATGGCTCAGCTTCTATCCGAACACGTGCGACTAGGATAGTTCACACGCTCGCTCAGTTTTCCGTCTCACCGGCTAAGCTAGCCTCATCAAGTCAGCGCAACTCCGTTCGATTGGCCAGCGGTACAAGTCGTTATCTTAGGCGTGCTCCAACCGTGCGAGCGACAATCTTATCAGGCAACTCCGCAATTATATCAAGAGGCGTCCCCTCAATTATAACCGTGGCGACATAGTTGATGAACCATGTCTGACGAATACGCCGATTTAAAACTGATGCTGCAGTAACAACTTAAGTTGATGTCCGTCTTAACCGAAAAGCTTTCCAGTTCTGCCCTTCACGCAGGTCCGAGCGCCAATTCTCAGTCAATGGACCATGTGGTTAGCGGCATCAGCGAATTCCTGTACGACGTCAAGGCAGGGGTAACGTTCGAATCTTGGTACAAACGGCACAAGGACCTGTTCATCGTTGACCTGACTTGCCAGGACGACGCGTAGAAGGTCCGGCTGCTTCTTTGCAAACTTGGTACGCTCGAACACCAGCGCTATACCAACTTCATCTTACCGAGGAACCCACGCGACTTTACCTTTGACGAGACAGTCCGAACATTGTCACAGATTATTGGGGAGCAGTCCTCTCTGCTCAATGCTCGTTATCAGAGTCTGCAGTTGGCCAAACGTGATGCCGATGACTTCGTCACGTACGCGGCCGTGGTCAATCGTGAATGCCAACTATTTCAACTTGTCTTGCTCACCGGTGATCAATTACAATGCCTGATCTTCGTCTCTGGCCTCCAGTCTCTACACGATGCTGATATCCGGAAGCGCCTCATGCCCAAGCTACAACAGGGTAGCTCAGTCACACTCCAGAACCTGGCCGAGGAGTGTCAAACGCTGCTCATCCTGAAGCACGGTTCTGCAACGATCCAGAACGCCGCCTCACCTGGTATGGTCCAGGCAGTCACAGCACCGAGGGCGCAATCGTTCGCGCGCCCCACCCAATCCGACCGATCGAAGTCCCCACCCTACGCGGGCCCATTCTGTGGTGCCTGGCATTTCCAACGGGACTGCAATTTCCGCCAGCAGCGTTATCAACGTTTTTGCAGGATGGGGCACCGGGATAGTTACTGCCATCCTCCATCTCCCAAGTGGGTCAAAACTGGGCTGGCTCCCACCCGTGATCCAAAGAATAGAACCCGACCCAGACGCCCTCCAAACTTGGTCCGGTTTGCAGCTCCCTGAGCCAGCTGGCCACGTTCCAAATCAACGCCGCGGATCGGAGGGAATTCGTCGACGTTTTGATCAAAGGTCAGTCGGTCCGATTGCCGTTGGACACTGCGTCAGACATCATGATCATCTCCGAGGATCTCTGGCGATCCCTTGGCAAGCCACCATTCGAACCGACCTCCCAATCTGCCACCAGCGCCTGTGGGTCGTGTGCAGCTAACTGGTCGGTTGCACTGATCAGTCTCCTTCCGGGGCGTCACGTTCAACGCGATCTGTTGCATCACAAAGGCGAAGCTCAACATGCTTGGTCTCGACTGGCTCGAAACCCTTGGATTGGCCGATCTTCCACTTCGGGCCATCTGCAGTGCCGTACATTCTCCGACAGTACCAAACGATCGAACAGCAAACATCATCAGACAGTTTGCCCCGGTATTCCAGGATGTTCTTGGCCACGGTACACGTACCCGCGCCGCTTTACAGCTTGTACCTGGTGCTAAACCTGTATTCCGTCTCAAAAGACCTGTCCCATACGCAGCCATACCCTTGGTCGATGCTGAACTCCAACGTTTGGAAGACATTGGCTTCCTGGTGTCTGTGTCCTATTCCGCCTGAGCATCGCCGAACTTCGTGGTCAAGAAGCCGAATGGATCCTTCCTCATGCATTTCAGCTGACTCAGCTGTATAACAATCCGATCTAGTGGAAATTTCGCTAGATGCGTTTATACATTATGGAATTATCTTTACATATCTTAAACCTACTGTCTCTGCTATTTGTTGCTTTTCAGTTATTGAAACTATTTCGAAAAATATACGGCAATATCTTTGCGTAATTTAAATTTTATATTTGGATTTTTTAACCAGTAGCGCAACCCAGATTACTCCATTCTACCGGACATGCTTCTAAATATTTCACATGTATTCCTTTTTCCAGATGACGTAGAGATCAAAAACTAACTTGATATTAGTATGCTCCATTAGCACAAATGTTACTGTGGTTAACGCCGGTATATTTAAAAAGATTATTTTTAGAGTTTCTATATCCAATGCCAATAACATCTTTGGGAATCACAACCCCATTGAGGGGTCTTTCATTGTACAATTGTATTTTTTGAGGTATATCTTTTTGAAAATTCATCTTGCCAAGGTGTAGTTATTTAAATCAAATACTGTTCAGAAGTATTTTTTTAAATTTTACATCTATTAATTATGCTTTCAGCAGAAAACTCAGCCAATTCGGGATTCCAAAAGACCCAAGAGGTTTAGGAATCTGGAATCACATAAACACATGTGAATGCTTTGGTCTCAAAAATTTCGACGTTTCAGACTTAATAATTATGCAGTTTCGGAAGTGGACATTTATTAAAACTAAACAAGAAGCTGTAAAAGATCCACAGTAACTTTGTGGCTATTAAAGTTAGAATTAACATTCCTTTAATGCTTTTTGCACAGTTTACCCTATTATACACACCTTTAGAAATGTTATTTTGACAGCTTCTTCGTTAGATTACTCCCTAGGTAACTGAGACCAGATTACTATGTCCAGATTTGGAATACTAAAGCCTAGATACTGCATGCATTTGCGACTTCGTGCTTTTGACCACAATATTGCAGGCTAGTTAGAACCGGTTTTGAAGAAATGTTTTAACTAATGTTCTGCTCTGCTAACTGTATACAATCCGAAACTTCTCTTCAGTGATGCCGATTCCTTGCTTTAGATTGTGGAACCGAGTATTCGTTTGATAACTCTGCAATGTTTTCATATTTGTTCACACACTTAAATCTTTCGCATTGTTGCTGGCAATTTAATGCATCCGCTGGTGACAATGCGGATTGATGATGATGCAAAAAACGGGGTACATGAAGCTGCCAAAATGAATGATCTTTTAAATATTTGACAATTTATATAATCACGTCCTATTTGAGAATGTGCACTAAAGATAAAACAATATCATTCTTTTTAGCCTTTTGGTGCGATAACTAAAAATTGTATTTGTCACACGAATTAATCAACCAGTTATCGAAAATGGTCATACGCTTTTGCGGTCAGTTGATTATGTTCAAGGAGGGCTGTACCAATGGTCCACATGTAAGCAGGCTGTTCTAACCTATTTCGTCTTAATTCAAAAATCAATTCTATGAAGCTGTATAATAAATCCCAGATGATTGCTAACCTAGAGGCTTCTGACATACTCTACATGTCTCATTTAATACGCTACGTGCGAATATAGGCGATATACACAGGGGTGGTGCAAAACGCCTAAATATATGGTCCTACTATTTGCGTGATTGCAATCCTCTTTCATACGTTTCCAATAAATTTCTTTCTATTCCGAATGCCACTGGGAACAATTTGTGAGTATGCAAACGCAGAATCTAGTGAATTTCCATTGTATATCTTAGCAAATGTGCACTCCAGTTTTGGAACTAAACGATTATCCGACTGGCTGGATAAATCTGATATTCGAACAAAGGCCGTAGTAGCAGACATAACATAGTAAGTCAACGAAGCAAGACTGCAAGAGTTTGATTACGAAGGCAGCTCTTTCTCTGTACGTGGAGGGTGAATGTATACAGTATGTATTGTCATGTTTAAGCGTTCACTCAGACAAAGTGATCATTCAACCATACTGCCATTACGTTTCTATCGGTGGTCTAAACGCAGCTGTCCATGACAGCCCCAGACAGTCAAACGATTGAACATGTGCGAAAATGCTATATAACTAATAGTAAGGAAGATACGTGTAATTTTTTACGAGGCAAGCCAGAGTGAAACTGCTCCAATGATAGAGTTCCACGGACATTCCCACTGAATTGAAAGCAAAATGCACATATATAAGTGTGAATTATATTATTCACACTTCCAGCTAACTAGATGTGTAGCAGATTAGCGACATGTAATCAGATAAGGAAGACATGCGTCTAAGAGTGAATCTCGAGACCCTCTCCAGCATGAAATGTTTAAGCCAGTTGAAAGCACCGTTTTGCTTGTTACATGTGAAGAAATATAATAACATATTGTAAATGGAATTATGCGCACACATTGGAGAAATTACTGTTGGTGTGCCAAGGTCTAAGCATTCCAATATGTTCATGCCAGTTATCCACAACTGCGCCTTCTATCCAGCAGGGTGTAATAGCTGAAATAATGAAGTAACCTATATGACCCACTTGTCCTATCCGAGTGTAAAGGAATTCAAAATATTTATAGATGGAAAGAACCAATGGAAATTCATATATTTCCGAGCTGCTGAATTTCTCACGTATATTATGAGTCAGCAGAAAATCCAAGCGCAGTGGGGAACAAGCGTTATTAGAAGCAGTTGGTGATGTGACTATTTTAAGTAGTCTTAACAAAACACAAAAACCAAGAAATTGTTGTATACAAAGATCCAGGTGGGTATGCGTCATGCTTTAACCCGTATATACCTGCATAGGTTTTATTAATAAACACCTACTTTAGCGCACCTTGCGTGTTGTAACTCACCTGAGTGCCTAGAACATCAAGCAAATTTTCCTGCAGCCCATTTTTCATCAGTGATATTTTATGCTTCCTTACTACAGGAGTCAAATATCATCTGAATACTTGAGTCAGTTGTTTACATTGTATGGACAATTTAACCTTGCAAACGTTGTCTCTTACATATAGGTCATACTTGGATTGTTTCATCACATAGTAGTTGCTTCTTAATTTCCAAGGCGCTAGTTTTGAAATACCAGATACTTTTGGCTGGTACTTGTCTCTTTTAATCTGTGAAGCCATCGCTATATGATTTTGACAACTAAGTCAATGTTGTCCTCCCCCCATGTCTCAGTGTTGTAAGGGGCTGCCTAGTTAGCGTTAGCATCTAGTAGTTATTGGTTCGATCCCCAGTAGGGGACCGATGGATGCTCACCAATGACGAGCCCCAATGTGGCAAAACGCGCGTCTGATGCTTTTCAAGGTTGGTAGCTTACCTATGCGGCTTGGAATTAAACTACGATGAACCAAATTGAATCATACAGAAATGCGTCTGCTCATTCGTAAGTTAACGCAAAGCAAAATATTCATGATGTATCTTGGCAGTAGTTTTCAGAATCTCACACGGTCACTTTGACCGGTGATGTGTATGAAAAATATGTAGGAAAATATACATATATCATGTCATACAAAATGAGTAAGCTTAACACTGAGGCGTACAACACACTACACTATTGCTTTTGTTTGGGTTAACAATTGGTCGTGTAAAATAAAGTTGGGCAGAATAGTGGTGAAAAGCAGTACAAGGAAAAATAATTAAATTTAGATCATGAATTCGGTGGAAACGGTTAGTGAGTTCTCTGAAGGACAAACTTAGTGAAAATAACGTGTAGCTTTACAAACACCACTAAAGTTAGTGTGCTTCGCCTTGAGTTAGGTTTTAAGGACCGTGAAAACAGTGTGTAGATTTTATCACTAAGACTTTACTTGGGAATAGTAGCCCTACCGAAGATAAGCGCATGTATTAACAAAGTCAAAAGTAATCAAACAATATATCGCTCATTTTGATTCTTAGAGTTAAATGCACAACTTTCTCACATTGTGAATCCTTTAGGCGACATAGGTATGACAGGCTAAGTTAGGAGTTTAAAAGGCTCCAATGTATTTGAGAGTTGATATCGGGTACAAGTTGATAACTCACTGAGAGTTAAGAAGCGGAATTAGAAACAGCTAGTATCTTATCAGCCCGAAGACAAAAGTGTTAATTCACAACATTTATAAATGTCCAGTTTGAGTGATCGAGAGAATGACAACGTCAAAACTCCTTCAAACCACAATGAAGAGTATGTGTCTCAGCTTGCGGTACGTTAGTTCAGATTTGTACCTCAATTTTGGCTAGCGTTTATTCAGGATGAAGATGAGCCCTTGTAACTTTTATATAATTACATCTTACAAGAACGTCATCGACATGTTGCATTTAATAATTTGAAAGTATTAACCGTTTATCAAGTTATAAAACAACAACTGGGAAGACAGATATGCGCCTTGCGAAATATCACGATCATGGAAAAGTGTAGAGCAATTCGTTTAGTTAATCCGATAACACTATGGAAGATTCTTGAAGTTAAGTACACAAGTCTGCTCGCAAATGGACCAATTGTTAATTTCAGGAAACTTACAGAACTAACGCCAATGAGGTGGACTCCTAGAGATATCAAAAAGTGTATCCAGTCAAACGTGTTCATCTCCTTTCGGACCCCAAATAGGGAGCGGATACGCTCCAACTGAGGCCAGCTTCGAAGTGGGGACTTTCATTCCTCTCGACCAAGTCATCACCTGTCCACTTCTCCCATCCAAACCCCTGGCGCGCAAACAGCGCACGTCGTGGGAGTAGGTGGACTGATATGCGTAACACGTGGCCTAGCCACCGGAGCCCGGTGCGTGAAATGATGGTGCTGAGCGTTCATTTCCTTTCCGCGTGCCGTAAACAAGGCGTCGAACACGCTCGTTGCTTACGCGGTGTTCCCACCAGATGTGAGATATATTACGAAAGTACCGGTGGTCGAACATAACTAGCCTCTTTATGTCCACTGTTCTAAGGGTGCAGGAATTAAAACTGTACAGTAGGGTCGAACGTACCGCTGCATTGTACACTCTAGCCTTCAGGACGAGTGTGATGTCGCGCCGGCGCCATAAGCTGCGAAGTTTAGAAAAATCGTCTTGAGCTTTTGCTATACGGTTCGTGATCCCCTCTTCGATCCCACGGGCACTGATAAAACTTCACAGGTTTTTGAATTTTTGAACGAATTCTAGGTGATCCCCACCAAGGGGTAGCACAGCAGGCTGTCCAGTCTAATCCTGGTGGAACGCTTTGCACTACGATGGTGCAATGTAAAGCCCAAAGGGGCTGAGAGCCAGGGCTAATCTGTCCAGTGCACCTTGGCTCGTCTGGGAGATGTCACAGATTAGGGCAATATCGTCAGCATACTACAAGTCAAAAATCCTTCTCCTGGAAGCAGCTCCACACCTAGTAAGTCGTGTTCTGTGAAGGCGATTTTCATGACTTCGTCAATAGCGAAATTGAAGAGGACAGGTGACAGCGGATATCCTTGTCTCAAACCGCTGGATGTCTTATAGGGCCACGGCAGCTTGCCGTAAGCCCTCACTCTGCCTGAGCAACGCGCATATATATTCACATATTTCTTAAGTACAACTTTCCTGCGCAGACAATCCTAAAGTGCACGTCTATTCACCGAATCAACTACATCTTTGATATCGAGACACATTAAAAGTTAGGGCCGCCATTTTACGTGACGTTGCTTCAACTACTGACACAAAGTGAAGATGCGGTCAATGCAGCCACGAAGTTTGTCGGGGTTCTTACTTGTTAGATTTTGGTAACGCCTTTTGGTTGCGGAGTTCCTGGTTTAATAACCCGTCATTCTCGGATGCCAAAAGGGATTTAATACGTGTATTCCCATAAATGTATTTTTGGAGCTCCCAGATGTTATACACGAGGCAGTCTAGAGTCAGCCGGCTATTCAAAAGGAAAATTGATCGGTGTATGAAGCGTTTGAAAGAATAGTCGATACAGCTAGCAATATTATCAGCTGCCCGGAAGGTTATGTAATGCAAGGTGAAAGAAACACTACATGCCTCACCACCAGTGCGCTAGTCGCACGATGTTCAAGCGACCAGAAGTAAAAAACCCAGTGGGAATAGCCGGTAAAAACTTACCTCTACCTGCTACAATGTCGCATGAAATACCCGAGGCTGAGGTATGGGAGGCATGCAGGCTAATATTCTGTGTGTAAGGTACAATGAAAGATTTGGGAGCATTGCAGAATGGTAAATGCACGGTTGTTAGATTTGTCTAGACTTGAAAATCCGCTTCTTCCTCGTGCGAGATGTTCAGTTGCATTCTGGCGGAATCTGGAGAAAAACAATCAGGAGGAGACTAGCAGCAAGCGATACCAGCAAGTGATCAGCAAATCAAGATGATATTGTCAAGTTGTGTGATACGCTAAGCTGTCTGGAAAATGGACTCGCCATCCTGACGGTGTCTGCCGCGTATTAATGTTTCCTTGTGGCTTAGCTTTAGATGTTACAAGTTGCGGGTCATCTTCAACGAGCTGTGGTTGCTGCGTACACGGTGTCGAGTAAGAATCACTAGATTGTTGTTTACAAGGTTTTTCGATGTACGCTGGTTTAAGACGATCTACAGAAACCGCATCGACTTTACCATTCTTGTTGATCATATGATGTTTTTCGGTTCTAGCGATCACTTCAAATGGTCCTTCGTACGGTGGTTGTAATGGCTTGCGGACTGCATCATTTCGTACCCACACTTATATAACACTTATTGGTGTGTGCGCGTGTGGGGATAAAGTGCAGTTCACGCATAGATGAACGTATCCGATGGACAAAGTTTGAAGGATCTATAACGTCGATGTTGGTCGGTTGAACGAGATCAGCCGGGAGCTTTAACGTGATACCGTATACCAGCTCCGCGGTGGATCAACCTAAGTCAGCTTTAGGTGTCGTTTGAAGACCTAATAAAACCAGCGGTAAGGTTTCTGTCCAACGGGTAGTGTCGGAACATGCTATCAAAGCTGTTTTGAGATGACGGTGGAAACGTTCGACTAACCCGTTCGATGATGGGTGGTACGCAGTTGTTCTTATACGCCTGGTTCCGAGAGTATTGGTTAATTCTCAAAAAAGCGTCGACTAGAATTGCGCACGGCGAACAGTTGTTATGGTGGATGGTACACCATAATGCGCGATCCAATGAGCCACAAAGTTATGTGCTACCGTCTCTGCAACAATGTCTGCGATGGGTACTGCCACGGGCCAACGAGTGAAGCGATCGCTGCAAGTCAATAGGTACTTGCATCCACTCGACGGCGGCAGTGGACCAACGGTGTCTATGTGCACATGACTGAAACGAGCATCGGGAACGGTGAAGTTGCCAAGTGGTGCCGGAGTATGCCGTTGCACTTTTGAACGTTGGCATGGGAGGCAGTTTCTCACCATGATATGCACGTCTTTGTTTAGTGCTGGCCACACAAAGCGATCAGAAATAAGCTTGCGAGTTGCGCGGATGCCTGGATGTGATAGACCGTGGATTGAATCGAAGATGATTCGCCGATAGTTTGGTGGTACGACACGTCGTGGTTTTCCTGTCGAAAGATCACACATCAGAACATCCGAACTACCAGGCAGCGGAATGGCTTTCACTTGAATATTGGTTTCTTGCAGTTGTTAAAAAAACTGCTTATCCTGATGCTGCGCTGTGGCTAGTTCTTGGAAGTCAATGGAGGAATGTTCGAATAGAGCGTTGATTTCAGCCCTTGATAAGGCATCTGCTACGGCGTTATTCGCGCCGAACAAATGCCGCATGTCAGAAGTAAATTGGGAAATGTAATCTAATTGTCTAGTTTCTCGTGGGGAAAGACGATCAGAAGCAGAACGCAGTACATACGTTAACGGCTTATGATCGGTGAATATCGTGAACGTACGTCCTTCCAAATAATGTCGGAAATGACGCACATTGAGGTAAATAGCTAAGAGTTCTCTGCTGAACGTACTATAACGTCGTTCGGCAGGCTGCAGTTTCTTAGAGAAAAAGGC